CAAATCATAGTATCAACTCAGACTGTTGCCACATAGGCGATGCTTCGATATGGATTATTTAGCTCGCTGTAACTGTGACAAGGGTCCTGACCCAGTGAAGAAACTGGTAAAAACAGCAACAGAACGAGTTCCCCACAGAAAAATAAACTAACCATTATGCACGTAGCCGACCTAGGCTCCGAGTGCTAATAAAACATATCAGAACGGCACTTGACTCTCTCAAATGAACACACGTCGTGTGATTTCTTCTTTTATAGCGTTATTATTAGCTGATGACGAAACAAGGACTATGGGACTTCCTGCCTTGAAAGCAATTATGCATGAGCAGGTATTAAGAATTTGACATGAAAGCACTATGGAAAGTGCTTATTATTATTATTTTTTTAGTTCTTACTTAGTACAAGTTAAGAAGTCGAGTAACTTCTTAACTTCTACTTAATGCATTGGCGTTCAAAATAGTGCGATTAATAGTGTAGGATCCCAGCGAGTTGTATGCGGAATGCGGAAACAGAAAGAAAAATGCATTAATATTAAGTTTGTTTAGACAGGAAGTAGTTCAGGAGTGAAAAGATTCAAAGGGGTTAATTTTACGCCTTTGTTAATGAAGGGAATTGTTACGCGAAAAAAATGATTATTCATGGTCCACGAAAAACCTATCAGTTCTGTATTTATAAAGCATATGGTGATAGGGCATACTCTGTAGCAGAACCAGCTGGAGCCTAAAGTATGGAACAAATTGCTATTAAATATTAAGCAGTCATCTATAGCCGTATTTGAAACGAAGTTCCATTTGAACACAAATGGCCCTAGCCGTCTGAACATTTCTCTATCTTTCTTACCCGTCTAAATTTGCAGTTATTTTAATTTATCACACCATTATTTTCTACTAATTTCATCTACCTAGCTTTATCAGTAGCAGACGCTAGAGTATTTAGCAAGTTTTGCGAAGTCAGTAAGCAAGCACGGTCGATTTCGTTTGTATCTCCTAACATAGAAAACACGCGCAAATGTTCATGTCTAACTTAACTCGGCGAAAATTTAATTCCGCATTTTAGGACTGTAAAGAACTTGACGAAGTATACTGAGGACACCTCAATATCCCTCTAAGACAAATATTTCTGCACGTTTCTGACAGTCGCTTCATTAGGGCGGTAAGGGTGCCTTTCATTTTGAACAATTTGATCATTGCTAGATCAACAAAACATTTACAAAATCTTAGGGAAAAAACCCTCTATTATGGTCGACTTTATGCCATGAACTCCTTTGTCATCGTAAGATTAGTTATCATTTCCTTCTTGTCATGTGCTCTTAAAATGTTCTGAAACGAGCTCAGTTGTTCGATTTTTTTTTTTTTATTTCTATAGGTGCCATTAATTGCCAGTAGTTGCTGGATGATTTTGCAAAACAACCTTTTTGTCGTTAAATAAATTATGCTAATTCTATGTTCACAGAGGTTTCTTAATAGGTCACTCGTAAGATAAACAACCATGCAGAGGGACCAAATACTGAAGGCGATTGCAGTCAATTTGATTGATTAAAAGCTAAGGCTTCTCGACGGCTTTAAGGCGGTTTATAGTTATTCCTTCGAAGGTTACAAAATATGATACCCAGTTTAGTGGGCTTAAGCGTTTTATATTATGACCAAAAATGGCAAATTAGACGAGCGCGTCTTTGCTATCAAGCTACAATACGTACAAGGATGTCATCGTTGCATCCTTAAATCGATGGACTCACTCCCGTGCTCTTTCTGAAATGGCGTGTAAAAATGTCTTTGCGACTACGCATATTTTCACTAAACACGACAATTTAAAAGGTAGTTCTATGCTCCAGTAATTAAATTTCCGCTTATTAAGCCACCTTTTGTTGTGCAAATTCGAAGACCTTACTAAATTTAACTTTCGAGACTCTAAAAGACTGCCTTCAAGCTACTGCTAAAGATTTCAAATACAACGATTTCTAGTGACATCTAACATTGAAACGTCCCTAGTAAATCCGCCCGATCTAAATCAGTAGCGCGAGTTAGCGGTTTTCCTTAACTCGATGGACGAACTGGGGGCACCGTGATCTTTCTGAAATGCTCTAAGCAAGCTCTTGGCAAGAAACAGTGAAACTCAATCTCTCTGCGCGGCGTGGAATAAAAACGAAGCATTACCTGACTATTTTGGCTTGATGAATGCTTGTTGATCTCTGATTCACAATACCTCAAAATACAAAACAACTAGTCTACGCACGATGTTTAGCTAGGGTCGGCCACGTACAAGAAACCTAGAAACTTAGAGCGAGATTAACCATGTCCAGCGCACGCAGCTGCTTTTTGAAGATGCCTTAATTGGCGCCTAAATTACCGATCATATTTTTTATAACTGCCATTTCTTAGGATTCACATTGTATTTAAAACTTCATCAATGAAACAGTAATTTCCTCAATGACTACGTATACTACCCAGGAGCCCAGCTGACACCCCGCAATATATGTAGTACCTTTTGCAGAGTCGACTTCAATTTTGTACCCTACTAAATCAAGAAAACTATTTCTCATCCAGTGGCTTAACGCAGATGAGTTGTCTGATTTGTTCAAGTCTGTTTTCAGGGTCATTTATTACAAATGTAGGATTAAAACGAGGTCTTTTCTTGATCGCTAAACATAGTTTAGCTAACCATGGAGCCATTTTCACGGTCTGCTGGTGGTTTCATAACATGACGTGTAAGGTGACACAAACGAGTTAAACTGACGCAAACAACGACAAGCACAAAACACGGAAATAACTTCGACATAGCAGTAGTGGNGTCGGCCACGTACAAGAAACCTAGAAACTTAGAGCGAGATTAACCATGTCCAGCGCACGCAGCTGCTTTTTGAAGATGCCTTAATTGGCGCCTAAATTACCGATCATATTTTTTATAACTTCCATTTCTTAGGATTCACATTGTATTTAAAACTTTATCAATGAAACAGTAATTTCCTCAGTGACTACGTATACTACCGAGGAGCCCAGCTGACACCCCGCAATACATGTAGTACCTTTTGCAGAGTCGGCGTCAATTTTGTACCCTACTAAATCAAGAAAACTATTTCTCATCCAGTGGCTTAACCCAGATGAGTTGTCTGATTTGTTCAAGTCTGTTTTCAAGGCCATTTATTACAAATGTAGGATTAAAACGAAGCCTTTTCTTGATCGCTAAACATAGTTTAGCTAACCATGGAGCCATTTTAATGGTCTGCTGGTGGTTTCATAACATGACGTGTAAGGTGACACAAACGCTTGTTTGTGTTGCCCGGTAATGTGTTCGGAATTTTTAATAAAAAATATCAATAACCTTAAATGCAGCTATTATTCGTTGCTATTTCATTTGCCACTCTAAATTACAGTCAAATTTATGGCCTGGTCAAGTGTTTCTTTTAACACCTCTTTTAATTGTGCTTTGGATTATAACATCGTGAGCATGTACTGTACGCGATTTCCCTTCTTCCAAGAAGTCCTACCGATGGAGCAAACCTGTGGAGTAAACCTAAACTGGAATAATATTACAACTAGCCCTATATTGGGCTGAAAACAAAGCCTTTGATTGAAAAGCTACGAGCTGACTTCTTGGTTCAGTGATTTCTGTCTCTTGGAAACGAGTTAAACTGACGCAAACAACGACAAGCACAAAACACGGAAATAACTTCGACATAGCAGTAGTGG